CGGCTGCTCCGCTCCGCTCCGCGGGAACCGCGCCCGGAGGGGCGAGGCCGGAGCAGAAAGAAGGCGAGGCTCCCACGCGGCCGCCGTTACCTGCAACCGCAAGTCTCCACCACCATGTCCTCGTACTGTTTGTAAACCACGTTGTTGCCGGAGTCGATGTACAGGATGCTGATAGGGCTGAGCTTGGAAGGCACACAGCAGCTGGGCGGGGTGGACTCTGGGTCCATGGAGTTCATGAGCGTCTGAATGATGGCGTGGTTGGTCGGCTCCAAGTGGGAGCGCAGCGGGAAGTCGCACACGCCGTCGCAGTGATACGCCTCGTAATCCAGGGGCGCGATGATCCAGTCGTCCCAGCCCAGCTCCTTGAAGTTGACGTGCAGCGCCTTGCGGCTGCAGCGGCTCTTCACCTTTTTGCTCTGGCTTCGCCCGCCCGCGGCCCGGCCCGCCAGCGCCGTCCGCCGCCTTCGCCGTTTCTGTTTGGCCAGGGCGCCTGGGCTCAGCTCGTGGGACCCCAGCAGGAGCTCGGACCCACCGCTCAGAGCCCGGATCTTCTCGCGGATCTCCTTGAACAGGTTGTCCTTCCGCTTGGTGCGGGAAAACACCACCAGCAGGGCCCTCTCGTGGGGCTGCGCTGGTTGCTCCCGGCCGAAGCCCAGCTGCCGGGGGGGTAAGAGCTGCCCGGACTGGCCCGAGACGACCCGTAGCCAGAAGCAGAGGGCGCGCGGGCGCTGGGGGCGGCCAGCCTGCTCGGCCCAGGGCCGCAAGGCTGCCCAGACATCGAAGACCTCCCACTGGGGCGCCGCGGCGTCGCCGGAGCCCAGAAGATCGCCGGCTCTGGAGTCCAAAAGGCCCGGCTCCCGGCCTTCTGCTTGGTCGGGGCAAGTGGAGAGCAACAGGCGATGGAGCATCCCTTCCGGGGACGAAGCCAAGCTCCTGTTTTCGGCGGCTTTCCGCAGGATCCTCAGTTCAGCCCCCACCACTTCGTCCGCCTCCGCCAGGGAAGAGATGTCGAAGAGGTATCGCTGCCCGGCCTCCCAGGAAGAGTCATCTGGAAGAGAAGCGAAGAGAAGAGAAGTGGATGGGCGGAGGCGGCCTTAAGGCACCCTAAGAGCCGGGCGGCTCGGTCCCCCTGGCTGCCTGCCCTGTCTGGGAACGCCTGAAATGGCCAGCTGAGGAATCCACTTTCTCCCTCCCTGTTTTATTTCCCCCAGTTTTTCTGATCAATTGGAGACAGTTGTTTTGGGGCCCAAACTGTTTTTCCTGATAGGGACCCTCACCGGCCCCAGGAGTGTGGCCCTTGCTGCTTCTTATCTATAAAGGCAAGACCTTCTGAACGTGTGCAGAGACACTTGGATCACATACTCAGTGCCTGCTGTAAAATAAGTTTAAGCCACTCTTCTCCCAAAAAACTCATAAAGGCCAATTGTGAAATTGCATTAAAGTTGTGCTTTTGAGCATGTGCAGAATGTCTCAACATAGCATGGGGAACGCTTTTGGGTTCAAGAAATGGCTTTGAAAAACGCACACCAGCAGAAAGGTAACTTGGGAGCTGAAATCTATCTAATTTTCAAAACTACGGCTGGATAGGATCTGTCCATAGAAATGACCAACCTAAAACCTTCCAGCCTTGTTAGGTCAACAAGAGACACTGAAGCAAACATCTGAATTTATTTCTCAGCCCAGGCAGGGAATGGGTTCTGGGGAGGGGGAGAGAAACGGGCCCATGTTTTTCTTCCCACGCTACCCACCCTCTCCATTGCTACGAGCCAAGTTAAACATTTCCCCAGTCTGTCAAGGATCATTTTATTTGTTCACGTGTGTGCCTACTTGCACGTTTTCTTCATTTAAATGCTCCAGGAGTGAAGGTGGAGGAAGAGAATAGTGCTGAGTGAGTTAATCCCTTTTGGGGGTAACCCATATGAATCCCCCTCCCATCTCAGTTCGTTTATGTTAGAAACCAGACATGAACTTTTCCTGGGATTAATTAAAGTAACCAGATGTGACAATAAATATACACCACAACATTAAAATAAATAAAGGGAAGGAAGAAGCAAAATAAACGAAAGAATGAAAAATAAAAGGTTCTCATATGGGCTTTCTCAGCAGGATAGTACAATGTGGTTCCCTCCGCCACCACCCCAAATGCTGGATAAAATGAATCACCGCCAGCCAAGTAAGGTGAGCAGTGAAGCAGGGAACTTCGGGCTCTCCAAATGTTGCTGAGCTACAACTCTCAGAAGACTCACTTTAGGCATCCTAGCTGGAGCTGCTGGGAGTTGTAGTTCAGCAGTATCTGGAGGCATTACTTGACCTTGGTTTATCTCTCAAGCTAAGTAAGGTCAGATCTGGTTAGTATTTGTAGGGAAGACCATCAGGAAATCCTAATTGTTTAGGCTTGGCTGGAAAATTGGTGATGGTGGTGGGGAGAGAATCCTGGGAGAAGGTAATGGCAAACTCCTTCCACATACCCATAGTTACATATCTCCATGAAGCCACTGGATTCCAAGGAGACTGTTTCTTTCATAGTTGGAGGAGGATGGGTCCCACAGCACTCATTAATTCTGGGGCTTGTTAATGAGTTAATTAAAAGATGCTCCACTGGACCAGTTGCAGTGGCCAACTGGATGCTTCTGGAAAGCACCTAATCCTTTTTCTTTCTTCCCAGTAATTGGAATCCAAAGAGTTTCTGCCACTCCTGGCGCAGAGTGAGCATAGAGCCATTGGAGCAAGTAGCCATAGAAAGCCTTGAACGTCTGAGTGCAGAGCAGGATCTAAATCTATCTTCCCCAATTTATGGGCCTCCAGGTGTATTGGGGAAGCATGACGTAGGCCTGCTAGCTGAGAATTCTGGGAATTACATTCCCCATACTTCAGAAGGGTAGACAACTTGGGATAGCAGCTCTGAACTGTTTTGAAACGGGAGTCCTGTGCCTACTACTCACATCCCCCACTGAATTCAGTGCTTCACCTCTCCCTGCGGCAGTGGCCACCCCGAAAGAAAAGGGGGGATGTGGCGGTGGCAGCAAAGAGCAAGCAAGCAAGCACCCTTCAGAGCATTTAGAGAACATTATTCCACTTGCTCAGTACTCCCAGGGTGCACCAGGGTTTTGTGCCTTCATTGCACCTGCAGCCAAGCTCGGCGGACCATCCGGAGAAGCCGGCAAACAGCTATCTCAACTTCTGGCCACCTGACTTGTGACCTCTGTCGTCACCCAGCCATCCTTGGGGAGGTGTAAAGTCTGTCTCATTCCTGTTCAGGTGGCATCACACAGCAGGATGTTGAGCTATCCCTAGCGGGGATCCCAGGCTGTTTCTCTGGTAGCCACGGCCTTCGGAGGCCTCGGTGGTGTCTCAAAGGCTTCAGGGCCCCTGGAGCCTCGGCTCCCACCTCTGCAGGATCGGGACCAAAACTCAAATCAATCCAGCCCTGAAATTCTTCCCTTGCAGTTCGATACCACTGAAGCTTCCCTTGGTGAGCCTCTAAGACACCCTGACTTTCTTCCCGTGTTGCTCACAGTTCGCCCAAACGCATAGCCATCTGCAGCCTTTATGGCCGGAGAGCAGAAAATAAATTGCTTCTTACCATCTAGGGTGGAAAGATTTAGCGCCCAGATCTGCCACTGTGGCCAGGTATTGCAGGACTGCACATCCCATTGTTCATCCTGGTGGCACTCAATGGGAGTCCAACAATAATATATTATTGTTTAAGCCTAATAATATTTAAACCGCTAACTATAACAATAGCAACAGGAAGGCTTTAGATTCATTTCTTTACATATTGTACTCGATCACATGACTCCTATTCTCTATCCACCCGATAATTTTTCTGCATTTAAAGATTGGCTGATTTTAATGCAAGAGCTTTGGGATTTGCAGATACAGTAGCTGCAGATGCTGTTCTAAAAGGGGCATTCTGGTATTTTAGAAAGTGGTATTTCTTGTTTTTGTTTTTTTTTAGAAGGGGCCTGCCACGGGCACACCAGTCTGCAAAGTATAAACATAACAACATGTGATTTTTTCTTCCTTTCTATTGTTTTCCTGGTCTGCAAAGTGATACAACAAGGAGCACTGATGAGAGTCCGACTCACTAAGTTTAGTGAGGTTTATTCCGAAATCAGCGAACAGAGAAAAATTCATGTGGTTAAAAATTAAAAAAAAAAAGACGGGGAAAAAAATAAAATAAGAAGCATGGCACAAATCAGTTTAATTTCGTTGATTTAGGGAGCCTTAACATTAACTGAATCAAAGTTAATGTTATCAAATTTGTCTTCTTTCTTTATTAAATCCAATTTCGAGGCCGTCCGACTCCGTAACATTCTGTGCGACTTATAAATAAAAACAAGAAAACAGTGCATATGTTAAAAGATCATAGCCGATCGGAAGAATCATTCAACCATTTGTAAAAACCAGACTTAACTAATGGGAACTTCACAACCTCCCTATCATGGACTCTCTTGTCACAGGTCCTCCGAAATCCACAAATTTATCCTCGGCGGTATCCTCGCGCATGTGAGCCATAATCTAGCTTCCTTGCCTCGCCTACACACTGAAACGTGAACTTTATCAGTAGATATCTGTGCGCCTTAATCTGCAGATTCATAGGACCCGCGTTTGCGAATACAAACAGAAATAAATCTGAAAATCCTTTCGGCAGAGATTCCAACCCACGCATACCCGCCGGGGTGAGCGATATATTTCTCTGGGGACGATCAATTACAATACTCTTAAGATTAAATCGAGCGGCATTTGGAAGATGCAGATCGGGCGAGCTGCTCCAATTGCCGGGGCAAAAAGTTGCGTCCCAGCCTCGCGTTCCGATACGAAGAGGGCTCTTTGATCAGACGGCCTCCCGGTCTGTTTCCAACCCTATTCACGAGGAAGTGCATGCACCCATTTTCTTTGTCCTGTCTTGCAGCTCGCGGGTCCCGCATGCATCAGGTGGCAACGTGGGCACATGTCAATCTTGCAGGGCTGACATTTCCAGGACGCCTCGTCCCTAAGAAATCTGACAACTCCGCTCTCCTTACTGGCGGCATTTCGTCGTCTTTAATGGGGGGAACCCTCGCTCGCCTAGCAGAAGCCGAAAGAACCCAGGAAGCAGCCGCTCTTAATCTTTCTTTTAGACTTGCTTTTAAACCGGCCTTAAAAGTGCCTTTCTCCCTCCCCAGCAGCACATCATTACAAGGCGGTGTGCTCTCTGCCCCGGTACTCTAGTGATTTTGGTTCAGCTAGAAATAACGGGCGACTAAGCTTCATTGGTAAGGCTGGCGGGCTAGCTGTCTCCCCCCCGCCTCAACTCCTTTTCCTTTTCTATTGTTTTGACGTGGCGTTTCATAGGATAATAATCCTACACAGATCATGTAGGAGAGACACCCCGGCTGTATTCAAAGGCGTGCATTTCCCTGTGAGCCGAACGCTGAAACTAGAAGAAATGTTTGTCAGAAACGGACGATGGACCGAGAAGTTGTTAAGGCCAGTGCAAATCTTCTCGGAGCGTTTTCACGGCCCTGGGTATCATTTCAGGTTAACAACGCAGGCCAAGGAACAGAAAGACCACGCTTGAGAAAAGTATTCAAACTAGTTGGAGGGTTCCCTCTACTCCTGCAGTTTTAATCTCTCATTCCCTCATTCCCTTTCTCTCTCTTCCTCCACCCCTTTCTTCTCTGTCTTTTGATATGTTGTGATTTTAAGAGTCACCCGCGGCGTCCAACTCTGGAAAAAAAAACCTCCACAAAGTCGTAGCAATAAATCACCGAACTCCGTAAGGCAGTCAGAATTAAAACGCAAAAAGGTGCGCGGCCTTTTAGGAGGAGAAATTCAGAGCGGGCAGCCTTAACTGTCCCCCACTGAGCTCCCTTCATTTGGGCTGCAAAGCGCTCTCCTGGGTTGCAGTTCCGGCTAATTAAGAGACCAGCCAATCGCGGATCGGCGCTCCGAGACACTCGGCTATTGGCTCGCCGTTTCGAGTCAAGGTGATGAGCCTCTGGTTGGCGGCGGCGGCGGAACAAGACTCCAGCCGTCGGCAGGGAGGTCAAGAGAAGAGGTAGC